AGGCAGACCCCCCCCACCCGTAGTCCCCCTACCTCTGGCCAGGGATTCGAAGGGCTCCAGAGGGTCTCCGCTGAGGATGTGGGCGTCCTCCAGCTGTGGGGCCATGGGCGACGTGTCCCCCAAGCAGCCGCTGCCCACACTGGGGGACAGACCAGGCCCCTCCTGCTCCAGCGGCACCGGGCCGGGGACAGACACGTTGTAGTCACAGATCTTCAAGTCTAAAGATGGAAAAGCAACCCTGTGGCAGTAGGAAGTGACAGCACCCGGGGCCTGGCCACTCTCATCCAGGGTATGACCTGATATGAGCTGCTGCCATTCCCCACATGGGAAATGTGCCAGGCCTCCCCCTGCACCCAGCCCCCCACCTTGGCACCCAGCCGCCCCCCAGCCCACAGAGGGGGATCACTGCTCTGCCCATGAGGATGCCATGGGCTGTGCCTGGCTGGGTTTGACAAGATCCCAATGCTGACTCTGAGCTGTGACAGGGCAAACCTTGGCAGGGACACAGGGCAGGTGACTCAGAGGGGTCAGGTCCCCCCAGGACCACGATGCCTGTCCCCACCATCCTGGCTTGGGGTCGCAGCACCCTGGACCACAGGTCTGCCCACCTGCACCAGCAGCACGGGGCTCCTACCTGTCTGCGGCTCCTCCAGCTCCATGCTGCCCACCAGTCCACCCCCGTTCTCTGCCATGGTGGGGGGGATCTCTTTGGCTGTGGTGTCGGTGTCCCCCCCGCCGGGGCCCGGCTCCTCTGGTGGCAACGAGAAGGGCTGAGTGTCAGAACCCAGCATAGGGGAGGGCTGGGCTGCTGCGAAGAAGCCGGCTGGCCCGTTCTGCATCAGCTCGAAGCTCTGGTCGTGGAAGGAATCGTACAGCTCCTGCGAGTCGAAGTTCAGCCCCATGGGGCCAGGGGTGCCGTTGCCCCAGAACTCCTGCCCAGCACCCCGCAGGTTGCTGCTGTGGCCAGGGGATGCTGGCCGGGACCCCCCAGCCATGCCGTTGAGGGGAAACTGTCCGAGGGGGGCGAGCGGGGGGGCAGCAGTGCTGCCGTCCTTGAGGCCGCCGGCAGGTGGGAACGGAGCGTAGTCACAGAGGCAGGCGTAGGGGACGGTGAGCCGGCGGCCGAGGTCCCTGAAGTGCTGGGGTGAGATACAGTAGAGAAGCCATTGACATTCGTGCCCCCGTTCAGACCTGCAGGGAACCAGAACAGAGAGAACCGGGTCAGCAGCACGCAGGGACGCTTCTTGATGCCTGGAGAGACAGATGAGAGGGGTTGAGGACAGATGGACAACCAGCCCAGCAGCTGCCGAGTCCCTGCCAGGACTGAGCTGGGCGGTCGCACCCCGAGAGCCGCAGCACAGCTCCCCCAGCTCGGTGACACCAGCTCTGCCAGGGGCTTCACCGGCACTGGGCTGAGAGCCACGGGATGCCGGGGATTAGCCAAGTGCCTGGCAGGGCTGTGCCAGATCAGCTGACCAGCCAAATCCACACGGAGACCCTGTTCCAGCACAGCTTTTCTAGGCCAAGACGGCAGCGGGCACACAACAGACCCCTGGCCCTGCCAGGGCACTTACTTTTCCCTTGGGTGGGGAAGCTGAGCAAGGAGCCAGGGGGGAAGGGGCTGTCCCCTGAGGCAGGCGTGGGTTTCGGTCCTGAGGCAGCAGGTGCAGAGGAAAGGCCAGTGAAGTTAAAATGGTTGTTTGTTTCCATTTCTGTGGAGAGAAGAGGCACTGGGTCAACCACTGGGGGGGGGGGACCAGGGAATGTTGGGAGCCTCTGCTCCCGCACAGGAGCAGAGCTGAACCCTGTAACAGGCAGTTACACCACTGGTGTGGGCAGGGAGATGGGGAAGCACTGGGTTTCCAAGCTGGAGCTGGAGGGAAACACAGTGGGGCTGGGGAGGGAGAGGTATGATGGTGAAAGCCCCTTGGGAACATGGGGCTCAGGCCCCCAGCAGAGATGACCCCTGGCCTGGCAACAACAGTGGGAAGAGCTCATCCTGGTGCTCCAGCACCCCAGAGACAGCCACCAATGACACCATGTTCACCCGCACTGCTTCCCACATTAAACCCAAGCACTCAGATCCCGCTGTTGCCATCCTGAGGCCCTGGCACACAGCGAGACCATGGGAGTGCTGCCACCTGCCAGTGCCCTTCACGACCTGGGAGCCACAAACACCTTCTCTGAACCAGAGGACTGGGAGGCTCCCAGTGGGGCCAGCCCCAGGACAGGGCCCTGTGGTGCCACCGGCACAGCTGGCAGCTGCCTGCAGTGGTCCCTGCACAGGGGGCAGGGGAGCAGG